TTAAGACAAATTGGAAGAAGGTTGCCTTAGTCAACATCGTATTCTTCGTCTTCCTCATCATCGTTTATTCGGTCGGTTGCTGTGCTTTTCGAAACAATAGAGAATACAATGCCTATCATCGACAAAGGAAGTGATCTTTAGTCAACTCGATAGTTCTATAAGCGTTCTCATTGTTTAGTTTACCCTTTTGAATTTCCCTTTTTGTATATTGTTTTTATTCCAGGTAGTGATTTTTTGTTTGACTGTTTGAGTGTGTTGAGATTTTAGAAATATGTTAAAAGTTATGTTATATTTTTGCTATATTTTTTTGCAAAAGTATATACAAATTCATGGTGGGAAACTTAATCTATGTAAATTCATGGTGAGAGTATGGATCATACGAAATTTTTTGAAAAGATAGAAGATTGAAATAGGAGACAGAGATAGAAATGGAAAAGAGTTATCCACCCTTGCTCGGCGTGTGGATATCGTAGAAAAATGTAACCAAAGTTAATTGCAAAAGATCGCACGATTTTTCATTTTTTCCCCACCATTTGGGGCATTGTTTGTGACCGTTTCTTGTTATTCGATCGTCGTGATTGATCATATGTAAGCATGTGTTCTCCCTCGAATTCGATTTCAGTTGTGGTTTTCTAAAGTTGGGTTCTTATAGTTTCAATTCTTCCTAACTTTGTTTTCATCACTTTTGTTCGTCGTCAGTGGATCCATTATAACCAATGGGTAGCGATATTGCAAGAAGTAACGTGTGTGGTACTGGAGATCATTGTCGTTGCTAGAAAATGTGAAAACGAGGGAGGAGCAGTCGTTGGTTGAAAATGTGATTCAACCCTGATTCAGTCGGGTGGCTTGCAATTCGGTTGGACCTATTTAATTAGATCGAATGGATCAATCAATTCAGTTGGACCAGTTTAGTCCCGTCACTTTTTTTTTTTTTTTTTAGGGATCTCAAGCTCGAAAACATTTTACCCAAAATAACAAAGAGTTGGGTCATACGCATGTTAAATCACGTGGATCAATAGTACATTGGTCATTTACTGTATCAATAGTACATTTTTATCTATTAATTATGTCTTATATCTTAAGAATTACTAATGATAAATGATGAACCAATGAAACTTTATTGTTGGTGAATAACCAAATTCCAATCAAAATGAAATCTTTAGTATAAATCAATCCAATTTAGGAGGACTTAATTAATGAACAGCCATCAATTTAAATCTTGGATTTTCGAATTGAGAGAGATCAAGAATTCTCACTATTTCTTAGATTCATGGACCCAATTCAATTCAGTGGGATCTTTCATTGACATTTTTTTCCATCAAGAACGTTTTATAAAACTCTTAGACTCCCGAATTTGGAGTATCCTACTTTGACGCAATTCACAGGGTTCAACAAGCAATCGATATTTCACGATCAAGGGTGTAGTACTATTTGTAGGAGCGGTCCTTATATATCGTATTAACAATCGAAAGATGGTCGAAAGAAAAAATCTCTATTTAACAGGGTTTCTTCCTATACCTATGAATTTCATTGGACCCAGAAATGATACATTGGAAGAATCTTTTGGCTCTTCCAATATCAATAAGTTCCAAAATTAGTATTTAAGGAAATTATTCCTCCATTTTTCAAATGAACTTCATTGTTTCAACTTTTTATTTGTTAGTCCTCAAAATGATAAATTTATTGAATCGTCTAAAAAAAGCCACGTTCATGTAAATTAAAAAACAACCTCTCACAAACATGAATTCATAACTCACTCATGATTAATATATGGAGTTGCATATGATCATATTGTGAAATATTAATTTTCTTAAAAGAGAGTAAATACTTTATGGTCAAATCAAAAAATTAACCATGTTGCATATGGAGTTGCATATGGTTAATATTAACCATGTTGTGAAAAGTCAGCATCTATGTCAAATCAAAAAATAAAGGAAAAAAGGAACCGAGCAATCTTGTATCAGACTAGACTCTTTTTGTAGTTGGATCAAATTATTTATAATTATGACCAACTGAATTCTAATACTTTTATTAAGATAAGACACCCAAAATTATCTATAATAACCCAAAAATTAGAAAGAAATTAAAAAAAAAAAGGAAATTATCTAAGATTGGTTAAGTTGAGAAGTTGGGAGTTGACTCCCGAATCAAAGAAAGATCCCTTGCTTCATTTTATCACCACACTTAAACGGTTCGAAGCCATTCGGAGAATACAATTTCTGATGGTTTAAGGCCGACATTTTAACTTATCTGGCTTGGATCTGATATGCTCGGACCCTTTTCTTCTAGTTTCAACTCTTTGGAAGCACTTAAGGTTAGTATGACTACCTTTTAGCTAATTTAAAACTCTTCGAAAGCGTTTGAGGTTCGTATAACTACCTTTTAGCTAGTTTAAATTTTGGAGTCAAGTTTAAACTATTTATGCATAATTAAGCTTAGCTAGTTTAAATTATTTTATGCAAAACTAGACTTAGCTAGTTTAATTATTTTTTTTTTTTTGGCAGAATTATGAGCAAATTCTTCAAATTTATGGTTGTTGGACTTCTTTGGCAGAATTAAATCTGAGAGAGCAACGTTACGTTAGAATTAAGGAGTCGTAGTAGCTTCGACCTAGGTCAACCAAGTTAGTGGCCTTACAATCGTCTTTGTCGGAAGACTTGTTTTATGTATGACGACACGTGCCCAGTGGCTCTTACACATGTCATCTGTACTTTGTATTATATGATGATATATAATGATGTGATTATATTATATGATGATGAGACTATGATATATAATGATGTGACTGTTATACGATAATGTTATATAATGTTATACGACAATGTTACAAGTGACGTTGTATGATGATAATGATGCATGATAACATGACGATGTAAGATGTATGGTGATGATATAACTTAATATGACATTACTCCATATTAAGATGATGTGCATGTATTAAACATCATGATGCATTATGACGATGATTTTTCTAAAACACAACTTCAGTTAATGTTAATGATGATGAACATATGAAGACCAAAGCATGCATGTTACTATGTGAACGGTATATAAGGTTGTGCCATAAAGATGATTTAAAGATGAAAATTATAGAGACCTTATGCTGTGTACATATACATCGGGTTACTTTCCCATTTATGATGATGAGTACGGACGCGTACACTATTATGATGATGATCATGTCTCGCATGGCACTCGGGGTTCGCTAACCTCCAAACATCGCTATGGACAACTAGCTCAACTATGATGGGTTCAAGTGGATACCAACTGTCTAGGGATTCACGCTCACACGTGTGAGTTATGTGTAAGGAAGTACCATATTCAATTTTGTCCTGAAGGCCACCTCTATAATGATTTTAACTATAGGTCCCAGATCATGAATTGCATGATTTTGCATTCTTTGACCCTATTAATGGGGTCATTTACTGATCATTTTTTAAAATACTCAACTCAAGTGCTACTTCTATTTCAAGTAAAGGCAAGGTACTCAACGGCTGACGATGACTTGCAAGTAGAAACCATGACATGTGCATAAGATAGTGGTATTTTATTTTGTTAGACTTGGATTAGTACAGGGTGTTTTTACTTTTAATGTTTATTTAGTATTTTGTATTGTTGTTTTAAAGATGTTTTCTAACTTATAAGTCTATGACAATGTTTTATGATAAAGTTTTAAATGTTTATTTTTTGCATGACAGAATAAAATGATGTTTGACTTTCGATTAGTAGAAATTTAGAGTACTAATCTAGAGTCATTAAACTATCCATATATTATAACTCCTTTTCATACATAAATTACAAATAGAAGTAATCAAATAATAAACTCATTAATTACAAGGTTTTACAACCTACAACAAAACTTTCATGCTTTCGTTTTAGTTTCATACTTTTAAAACTTTTAAAAAAAACTTAGTTTCAATGGATATATTCTTTTCGGTTCCCAACAATTTTCCTTTTGCATAAAGATCTTGCACAGATCGTTTAGTCTATGATATGAATTAAGATATGTTATCAAAATTATTAAAAGATGTTTTAATTCATGCCACATCGAACAAGAATGAAGTTTCATTATTATAAATTTTGGGTGGATCATAATTTAGAGTTACGATGTTTCATTAATGTATTTTAGGACTTTTAATTTGCTTTAGGTTACATTTACATAATGATTAATTATAGCCATATGAATATTACAACAACTTTTGAAATGCATTTAAGAGTTTTCATTTTAAGGCTATATAAAGCCATGTATGTTAACTTTGTAAGATAGATTTGGAAAATGTAGTAAATGAAGCATTTATGCTTCTTTTAACCAATGACTAAGTTTCTTTTCAATTCTATGTAGTTTAAGTTCCAAGTAGAATCATTCAAGCTCGACATAATCAATCTTGCTTGTGGAGTGATTCAAATCTTAAACAAGTGTTATTGCCTTGAGATATTTGATCAATAAGAATCATTCAAGCTAGACATGATCAATCTGATTTGAATCTCAAACAAACAAGTGCTCTTGCTATAATTCGAATCTTACTCCCCTTAGAGTGATTCCTTACATGTCTCCCTTCAATTATTATTTATTCCTATTTGGATTCAAGCATATTATTGGTCCAACATAACATAACTACAAATCTCCATTTAGCTAAGTCATTAAACTCTCACAATCACCTCTTCTTACATGACACCCAAGCATTATACCAACTCGACCTAATTGGGCCATGACTCACATTGGGAACAGCAAATATATACATATCTTCATAATGACATGATATTGTCTACTTCGAACATAAATCCTCATGTCTTTTTTGTTAGTTTCACTCGAAAAATTTCATACCAATGAAGATGTCACCTCTCAATTATATACACATAATATTTTTTTTTTAGCAAACGTGCTTGAGTACACGACATTCAAAAAGTTATTCTTTATTCTTGTATTCTATTGGTTTAATTCTAACAAACTTCGAGAGAAGAACAAAAGAGAATTAAAGCTTACTAACTCTCCAAAATTAACACAAAAGGAAACAAAAAAGGTACAAGAATTAAAAAATAAAAAACATCCTACACATTGGTTTCCTTTTTTGAACAAGTGGATCATAAATGCAACGTGAGGGTATTGAATCCCTTTGTGTCTAGTTGTCAATATGATCTGTACATCCCTTCAATAGAGGTTCTTCCATATCAATTTTGTAACTCTCTTTGTCAACTGAATTTGATTCACAATCCTCTTGTTTTTCAATTCTGCTCCTTTCTTTGTCTTCTTCCTTCACACCTTCATTGGCTTTTCCCCAAAGAAATACGTACAATCCGATAATTACCACCATACCCCCCAACAAGCTGAAATTACGAACGAGAAAAGAAAATTAGAAGATCATCCAACGTAAAATCACTCTCGTTCGAATGTAGTATTAGTTAATTTCTATACTATTGTTTTACCCAGATGTGCCATAAACCCAACAAAAAAAAACCCTTTTTTCAATGAAATTGAGCGTAAGCTCTCATGATTTGTATCCCTCGTTTATTGTGAGAGTCCGACATTGGTTGGGAGGAGAATGAAACACCCTTTATAAGAGTGTGAAAACTTTTCCCTAAGAAAGACGTTTTTAAGCCTTGAGGGGAAGCCCAAAAGGTAAAGAGAACAAGATTTGCTAGAGGTGGGTCTGGGCTGTTACAAATGGTATTAGAACAAGACACCAGACTGTGACAACGAGGAGGTTGTTCCTCGAAGGAGGTAGATACGAGACGGTGTGCCAGTAAAGACGCTAGGTCACTAAAGGGGTAGATTTGGCAGGGGTCTCACATTGATTAGAGAAAAGAAAAAGTGCTAACGAGGACGCTGGGCCTTGAAGAGAGTGGATTGTGAGAGTTCCACATTAGTTGGGGAGGAGAACGAAACATTCTTCACAAGGGTGTGAAAACCTTCCCCTACAGGGAAAGCATGAAAGGGTGTGAAAACCTTCCCCTACAGGGAAAGCATGAAAGGGTGTGAAAACCTTCCCCTACATGGAAAGCCTGAAGAAGACAGTATCTGCTTGCGGTGAGCCTAGACAGTTACATTTATAGACTTACTAAAGTGGGACTCCTCGCAACCATCCTCCGAACCCATTTAAAACTATTTTCTAAAAAACGCAATTATCGTCTTAAATGGGAAGAATTCATAATTTTACCTTCCACTGTAAATCTCCTCATGAAGAAATATAGCTGCCAAAACAGTTGTAATAATGGTGCAAAACGGGATGAACACGGCAGAGAACACAGGTCCCCTCTTTGAAATACCCCAAGCTTGAAGATAGTACGCAACTCCTGACCCAAAAATCCCCTAATAACCAAACACAATTAGATCTCAAAATCACCTCTCCAATAGGTAAATTCTAAAAAATTACTTACCGAGAACAGGTAACAAACAAGTTCAGTATTTGAATGAATCTTCCACGTTTCTACATTGGCTCCCTCTACCCATAATGTGAAACCCACTGATTGTATGAGTGAAAAAAAACAAGTCCATGCTGATAAGGATAGCTTGTCAGGATAGCTTGCCATTGCCGGCACCTGTAATATCAACCAAATTGACCAACAGCAACAGCTCCCAAACAGACTGAGTGACCCCAACAACCAAGCCTCTTGGCTCCCACTTTCCACATCAAATATTGCAGATTTCACTCCAAACCCTTGTGTGGCATTCAGCAGCTTTGGACCCCTTAGAAAGGCCATGAACATAGCCCCACCCATACAAACCACTGTCCCTCCAATCTTAGCCATGCTCCTCAAATTTTTCATCTTCACGCTCTCCATACTACAAATTTAGAAAATGATCATGGATTTAAAGTACGGAATACATATGAACCCTTTTAGGATTTCATAACATTGTGGAGAGTCGTGATTCAGTAACATAATTTTACAACAAACTCACCCAACCATCGCGGCTATCAGAAACGTCATTGCTGGAATTAGATTCTCCATCGCAGTTGCCAACGACGAGCTAGCTAAGAAAAGCCCCTCGTAGAAAAAATTGAGGTTGATCGTTGTCCTGTTCAAGTCCCCAGCTAGAGGTCAATTGCAAGATTGAGAATTAAATCAAGAAAGTTAGTGATTTGAAGAGAGTATTGTAAAGGGTACCCAGCAAGAGCAGCAAGGAAGATGAGATAAAAGCTCTTGAAATCCAAAGAAAGCTTCATGGATTTGGAGCTGGAGAAGTAAGCAACAGGTGCTATAGAGAGAGTGGCAAAGGCCTGCCTGTACACAATGAACACTCTAGGACTCATACCCTCCAACAGGGCAGCCCTGGAGATGAGTGTCACAATGGCATAAATTGCTTGGAGCCCCAACATGGCTATGGCTGGCAAGTACTCTTCAACCACACCCATATTTCCCTCTCTGTTCTTTGTTCCTCTTCTCTTGTCTCCAATGGCTCTCAAACCCTCTGTTTTATATCAGTTTATGTTCACATGAGACAGAATTAAAAAACTAAAAAAAAAAAAAAAAACCAACAATATATATATAAACATAAATTTTAATTCGGAGTGAGTCCCACTTTAGTTAATTTAGCTAATATTTACAACTAAAGGAATACATCTTCATTAATATGAAACCATTTATCCCATTTATCTTTTAAATAAAGGCAAGTTCGAACGTGTTTTTACTAATTTAGCCTTAGTTGATGGTTTTAAAAAAGTTTTGTGGTTTGTTTGTATTTTAAGCTCAAAACATGAAAAAGGAGAGAATATTTTGTAACTTTGTTATAAAAAATAAAAAAATGAATAATATTTTAATTTTGGTATTTAATTTTAAATATAATATAAGACACGTGTTAAATTTGAAATTATTTTATATTTTCAATTAATACAGGGATTAATTATGGAGTAATTTTTTTTAAAAATGGTAAATATTAAGAAAAATTACTGTTTGGTGGAGATATAAATGAAGATGATTCATCCCACGTTCATTGACAGCTGTAATGTGAATTTGTTGGAGCGAAATAAATAAATAAATAAAATATATAAAAGCTGATATTTACGGAATTCGCTGAATCGAAGAGATTTAGTAAAAGTCAAACTCAATAATTGGATGGCCCAAAACGAGAAAATGGGTTTTTTTGAAGGGTGATTTGGTAATTTCCCCACTTTCTTTTTTCATTTTTCTTAATTATTACTCATTTATTTATTTTTAAAAAAATAATAAATATGAATTGAGAGCCATCCAAACAAATCATCTCTCTTTAGATTCAATTGAATTGGACGGGCTAAAATCTCATAAAATTTAAATAAGAACGGCTACCAAATAATACGGAATCTAACGGGAGGAAAAGTTTTGGAATGGATTACATTGATGATCAAGATCAAGAGTGGAGAAAACTCGTGATTCAAATCACTCTAAAAGAGGTTTGATAAATACCACTCGAATGACTTTAGGATGCAAGTTCTAAATACAAGAATTTGCAGAGTATAAGCTTAACTCTCAACCGAACTAAAATAGAAACTCTATTGTTTTTAATTCCAAAATGTGATATAAAACAATAACATGAATGATTATTTATAGCCTTGAAAATAAAATTTATAATAATGTATAGTTGAAAGGTTGCAACTTTCATGGTCATCAATACTATAATTGATCGGTAACTAATTGTAACTTATAATTTAAAGACAATTATCTAAAACTTAAAAAATACAAAAAAAAAATCATTTTAAATCTAAATCATATCTAGTCAAGCTTCGATGCATTAATCCTTTCTTCGATGAGCCCGTCTTCATTCTGTGGTAGGACAAGTACACAGTGAATTATCAATTAAAACGTACACTCCATCTTTGCCTATGGTCTCGTTCCTCTACCTATCCTTTACAGTCGAGTTGCTTCGTACCTCTCCCTATTGGTCGAGAATCTTTTCTTTCCTCTCCACTCTACTTTTCAAAAGAAATCTACGGATTCATTATACAGTTCCTTAATCTGTTTATTCACGATTCCTATAGCTTGCGATGTGAATTTCTAGCTTGACAAGAGTGAGTAGGATACGGTTGAGTTGGGTTGGTTTGTAACTCTATTTTCGAGGTGTTGGATTGACTTAGCTAAACCCTTAGCTAAACCCTAACCATGGTCCTAACTTTATGGGCTAAATTAATTAGAGTCAGCTACGCGGCAGACCTCCCTTCAATGCTCAACGGTGAAAGGGCCCACATGATTATTATTAAAGTTGTATGAGTCCATTGATGAAAAATGTAGGCGTATGAAATAAAAAATAAAAAAATAAATAGAACGTGTTGGGTTTTAATAATAATTGTTGACGCAACACGATGCACACTAAAAAAATAATATAAAGTGTTAGGAAATAGGTGGCTTTAAGATCTTCCTTTCACGAATCTTCTACGTTTCTATCAATTTTAGAGCTTTAGATTTGTTGTATTTAATTTTATATATAACTCTCATCTTTCCACCATTCTTAAGTTGATTCATATTCATTTATTATATGTTATACTCAAATCTTATAAAAATCTTATCGTATTGGTGAGAGAATAATGTTTATAAGATTTAGGAATCATGTTAAATCATTAAAAACTACCCAAGATAGTTTATATAAGGTTTTGTGTTAATATATCCACAACGTTGTTGACGAAGTAGTAAGTAAAATAGCAAGATAATGAACAAGGGCTACTAGAACCTAAATATGATGGTGAGACGCTCTGAAATGCCCTTATTCGGAGCCATTAAGTTCAAGTACTATTTGAAAAACAAAGACGGAGTAGCTAGCCTGCTTGAATGGTCACAATTAATTATAAAGTTATGACAAATTTGGTGGGACCTAAATGTTACATTTCTAGCTCAAACAGTCTAGGTATGTCATTGGTTAACCCCTACTATCAAATAGGACTCATACTGAACATATGGAGTACGACCCTGTAATTGAACCAACTATAGCAATACAATGTGAATCTTGTTAATCTAGAAAGTGTTGGATTGGTATGGCAACCCTAGAGGGATGAATAGGTTTTTTTAAAAAATTATTGCAACTCTATTGTGAAAGAAAGCAAGATGTGTGCAACTGCCTTAGCTTTGGTCCCATGGTCATCACTGCGAGTTGTCAACCATACAAGGGTATCTTACCTTTAGCTAAAAAATAAGAGTAACACGTGGTTTGAGTATATTAAGAAATAAAAATTAAGTGACCGCACTGTTGAAGTCAAGAAATGCATACACAATCAATCATGGAGGGGCTTATCCTTTTATAAAAATATTTCATGGCCTTGAACTCTGCTTTTCAATCCGAGCTAAAGTTGGATGTGTAGTACTTCTCTACGCACAATATACATTATGTGTCCATGGACCCACCAGATTGGGGTATACGTACCCCCTAGAGGTTGCCCTTCAGCTAGCGCACACTTATATTGCCAAAGCCACATAGAGTAAGAAGCTCACATGATATTATGTCATACATAGATTATGCATTCGTATTAATCATAATGGGGAAGTACCCTGATGCACATGACATATAATAATCGATGAGGTCCCCATAGCTTTAAATTATTAGTGTGCAGATTGTACATTCATTCTTTCATAAACATTTTTATGAATATATACTTGGCATAACAACGTTTCATAGTCTTGAAACAATCATGCTAACATGGTGTGTATGGTGTCACAACCTTACTATGAAGAGAGTAGGTTGTGACCATCACGTTGTGACATGTGAAGCGACAACCCTCAAGGGGTGCCCATCCGGCTACATGAGGACCTAGACGAGTGTCATGATGCGATCGTGTAAGAAGGTGCATCATCCAACACACCATATAACGTGTGCATTGAAGAAAAAACAAGACATAAGTAAGATAGGGACAACAAATAGACAAGAGTGTTAAAGATAGGCTTGTTGAAGGGTCGGTTTGGGCCTCAGGCCTTAACCTCGAAAGTCGGGGTTCCATAGGGGATTTGGACATGTGGTTTTGAGTGAAGTCTGTCCATATGAAATATGAAAGCACTCCAAATTTGGTGTCAATCGAACATCAGATGAATGCTCCACGTCACCATATGTCCATTCACCAAAATCATGTTTACACCCACCACTTTAAAAATGTCACAAAATATACTATAGGGAAGGCATGGTGTCAGCTCTCCACCACCTTTGGGCCCTGCGGCCTAAGCGAGTTACCCTGTGGCACATGTGTGCGTCACAGTAAAGGCGAGTGTTTCAAGATGAGTGTCTCGGACAACTTCCTTTGAAACATGTTTTTCAAGGATAGTACTGGACAATATAGGTGTGTCGGTATTGCGCCCTTAAATGTGTGTCAAAGGTTGAATTTTGCACCCTCTATCCAATACAGGATCCGTAAATAACATGGCATAGGCATTGGAGGGCCAATGCCTTGATAAGAACCCTGATGGATGGATTTTCGAAATGTCTCGATATTATCAACAACACGTGGACTTATTCTCGATGGCTTGACCGAGTAAGCTATGATGGCTGAAAAAATCCAATGACTTGGGATGACGTCAAAACATGAGAATCATGTTAATTGAAAATCAAGATGATGTTGGATGCAACATTACATTGAGAGACTTTGGCCTTGAGTAGAAGCAAGGTCGAGTTAAATGACTTGGCCTATTGTAGAGGCAAGTCGGTTGTGTGCCCGAACAAGTACGGATTTCGCATGAGCAATGTTTGGTTAGTGAAGACACACCTAAGGTTAGACAAAGTCACAAAGCGGAGCAAAAAATGAATATGGGGCTTGAATTTTTCTTATGACTAGTCGTGAGCGCATTAAGATTACGATGCCGCACGGTTAGAAAAGTACGATCATGATAGTTGGTATCAGAGTCACACCTTGTGTGTCTAATCGAGCAAGAAAAAGAACCCAAGGGTTGATCAAAGACCTTGCAAGTGTGTCAAGAGTTCTAGAGTGGGCAAGACAATTGTAGGTCAGAATTAGAATCAGTTGCAGGTTGAAGCCAAGACTCCCTTTAGTTTATTATTGTTGTGTGTCGACACCTCGGTATGGGAGATCTACCCATCAAAGCAGGAACCAAGCTTATTTGTCAAGGGCTTGGGGCTTAGATATGGGCAAGAGGTGAAATAGAAAACATACCAGGTCGAGTGTCTTCTAAAGAACCATTCGCATTGGAGGAATAATGTCAATGGTTTCAAGTAGAGAAGTCAAGGGTCAAGATAACAAAAATGTGGACCAAGTGTCAAGTTGAGCACAATGCAAGTCCTTGTGGGGGAGACGACCATGTTGTAGAGAGGCAATCAAGTTTGAGTGAGAGAGTGCCCAAGTGAATGGATTGCTCACTTCGTGAACATGCTCCAAGATGCGAGTACACATCTATTCCTTAAGCCATTGCCTCGTGCCTAAGGTTGGTGGTTCACAAGAATTTTCAAGTCTAGCCTCTGCGGGAGAAGTGAGCTATAGGAAGACTAGAGAAGTGTAAGTG